CTCCTCTTGATTGAATCACAGCAGGATGCAACCGTGTGACTTTGCCTCATGACCTAATGATTGAATCACAGGTTAGCAGGATGCAGGTCACAAAAGTCTACGACCCTCTTGATTGATTCAGAGCACACAAATGTAGCATACTTTTATAATTATAACTCTAACAGTAGTGACTATCGACTCTCTTTTTTTCTATTGTGCCATGTTCTGGAGCTCAAGTCTCCTGTGTTGCCATTAACAGTGCTTCTGTGCTGTCCTTCAGCCTATCAATCGATCAGTCGATCGATATTGATAGCAAGTAAGTGCACATTACATGAATGAAAGAAGAGGAATACGACTGAGTTCTTTCTATATTGTGGTATTTTGAAACAACTTTCAAGAAGAGCCAGCACCATTACAGCCACCAAAAATTCTGCAGGACACTTTTTGGACAGCTCAGTGACAGAACTAGGGGGCTATTTTGTTATTAGGATATCTGAAAATGTAATTTGTACCAGTCAGAACTTCTGTAAATCCGCTAATATTGGCCTGTATTACATTAGCGGCCAGGTCTCTAATAATGGCCGGTCTCGCTGTCGGCAGAGGTAAATAATGGCCGGACTCGTATTCAGGCCGGTGCTATAATTAAAACCAACAATGTTCCTGGGCAGTCCTCAACAACTTGTGATAGTAACATACAAGTACCACAGGGGGGCAGTGTTTGCTAACGAATACAAGCCATTAGCATGGGAAGTCCCATCCTTAGCGCAGATCAATAGTGGCCTTACACAATTGTTCTGATCTGAAAGACAAACGTTATTACCGGTAGGTCTGGTGGTAACCAGGCAGCGTTAAAATGATATATTTTCGTTGGCCTTTGTTGTTCTGAATTTCCCTTGAAATATATGATACTGGTAGTCTACTTCCACTTAGCCTGCCTCAAATAAAAATTTGCTGTGATGGAAGAACATACATTTTTTTTAAACTTTGTTTCGCAAATCAGTTTAGCCCAGATTCTATTCTGTCTTTCTTTTTTTTTTTCGTATTGCTGTGCAGAAAAGTTCCAGCTTCTTGAAGATCTCTGAATAATGTTCTGTATACCGTTATGGTAACTGTACTTTTTCAATAAATGAACCTAGTATTTTATAGGTTCAAAGAGACACAAAATCTAGTTTTTATTAATTCCACTGGTAGTCAGTTTTGATCAAATAGAAATAGATGCCTGCCTCTAATTCTGGCCTCCTTCCAATAATTGGCCTGGAACAAGATGTACCTGAGTGAAATAAAGGTCCCATCCTATATTAGAGGATTTACGGTACGTTTCAGATATCTTGATTGTAATTGCGGATGTGTGACACTTTAAATATAGAATCAGGTGATGTCATTGATATCTCAAAGCTACAATTTCAGATATCTTAAATTATCACTCTTGATATTAAACATTTAGTTTGACTTTTTCTTTGATACCTTATTCATTTTTGGGTAATCGAAAGTCAAATTAAAAATTTTGATATGAGAGTCTGAAAATAAAATGTTGGCTTTTATTTTTAGGCCAATTCTCCCTGCCCTATAATCAACTGATTTGGAGCAGATGTGGACAGAAGGATCTAGAAGGGGACTTAGGGGAAAGGAGACTGGCATGGGGAGTATCAGAGTAAAGAAGAAATAAATAAGAACTCAAATACAACAAGAAAACCACTAAAATGACTCAAAATGGAAATTAAACCAATGACCTAGAAAACGCAGAATGACATAAATCAAAGTGTAACTGAAAACACCCCTGACCTCTCCTGCTTGTCGTGATTCTGCTCTTTCTGGGCTATTTGGTTCTGTTTTTTTTTTGAGTTGAACTTAATTCTAAGTGTAACTGAAAACTCAAAAACTTAAACTGAAGCAAAAAGCGCAGAAAGGGCAGAATCATGACAAGCAGAGGAGTCATGCAAAACATTCCCACAACAGTAATTAACAACAGAAGAACACATTCATTAAAATGTTTTACCCTCTCTTTATTTAGTAAAACAGCAGATTTGGTCAGATGCTACTTTTATTTCTTTACCTCTATCTGAGTAGATGGCTCAAACACTGAAGCAGAAAGAGATTAGCAATGTTATTTATCATCATATAAAGACTCATCATTCAGCAAAAAAATGTATCATATTTTGTTGTAACTATGCTGCCCCTTTACCAAAAGGCTGATAATAAATTGTTGACTTGTCTCCTTTTTTTATTTTTATTTTTTTTACAGATGTTGACTTTCAGCTTTTGCTGTCCGTCCTCGGTCTCAATAAAACAAAGTGTGGAGCTCCAGAGAAATCATCTGTTTTCTTTGAGAATGATCTTTAGAAGAAGAGGAAGGATAGCAACATTGATACTGCTGGTAAATGTATTTATAGTTGAGTGAATTAAATGAAATTAATAAAAATATTAATAAACAAACCAAACTCTGGATGTCCTGTGAAGTAGATTGAAGGTTTTTTTGTTTAAAATGTCTCATTTAGGCTAACATGTTTTGCTCCTGAATTAAGATTAAGGATCCTTTTGATATTTTTGTTAAATATATTTAAATTTATTATTTTAAAATTAATTTTAAAAAGTCTAAAAGTGTTGTCAAAGGTCTCCTGTTGCCATGGTTGAGTACATTCTTTCTTCATTCTTAATCTTTCATGTCCTTTTTTAAATTGTGGAATTGGAATTATTGGTTTTTGCTCAAAGAACTTTCCAGAAAATTTCAGTTCAGGGCCCTTGCCAGTGTATTTCAGCAAAATGGGCCATTATGCTAAAAAAAAAAATTAAAATAAAAAAAAAAGTCAGTTTACCCTGAAGATCCCCTTTGACTGACATCTGACACTGGTTAGACTGGAACTTTTAGAATGACAATGGAATCATTCTGATAGCCTGATTTTAATGAGCTTTATGCCGCAGTAACTGTGTTTTTAAACACATTTACCTCCATTGTTGCACATTTACATGTAGCTGTGAAGATTTGAAGCACCGTTACAACGGTCATCCCCACTTGATGCTGGCTACACTGAAACATTTAGAATTAAAACAGCATTAGCCAATACCCTGACTTTTAATGAGCACAACGGCCACGGAAACAGTTTTTTTTTTTTTACATTTACGCATACATGAGGTATAGGCGCTGTGAAAACCTCAACCACGCGCCATTAAGGCTGTCATTGCCCTGGCTCTCCAAGGTAGGCAGGTGGACCCGCTACAGGGCACGCTTAAAAAACAAAATCACTTTTTGGATCGCCTGGTATCTGCCCTTAAGGGAGGGTTACTGTCTGCTGCGTTGGGAATTTTGGTTCTGTTTAGTTTCCACTTTGGATTCTCAGTTAGGCTTGGAATTGTTATTCTGTTTTTAACTGCTAAGAATTATATAATCTTTGAACTACTTGTCAGTTTTACTATTCATGTTTGTTTGTTTTTCATTGATCTCCAGTCCGTTTTCCTATCCTCTAGTTTTCTCCTTGGTC